GGGCTAGGTAAAATGAGGCTGAGAACTACTGGACTGCATTCCCTGGAGGCTAGGCATTCTAAGTCACTGGATGAGACAGAAGGTCAGGACAAAGTGCAGGTCATAAAGACCTTGCTAATAAAATAGGTTGCAGTAAAGAAGGCAGCCAAATCCAATCAAAACCAAGAGGGCGACAAAAGTGACCTCTGGTCATCCTCACTGCTCCTTATACGCTAATCATAATATATTAGCATGCTAAAAGACACTCCCACCAGCACCATGACAGTTTACAAAGGCCATGGCAATGTCAGGAAGTTAACTTACATTGTCTAAAACGGCGGGAGGAACCTTCAGTTCCGGGACTTGCCCACCCCTTTCCTGGAAAACTCATGAATAATCCACTCCTTGTTTAGCATATAATCAAGAAATAACTATAAGTATCCTTAGTGGAGCAGTCACGCCGCCACTCTGCCTATAGAGTAGCCATTCTTTATTCCTTTATTTCTTTATTTTATTCCTTTTCTTGGAGGGGGCGGAAACGGAGTCTCTCATCGATCTCGGCTCACTGCAGCCTCTGCCTCCTGCGTTCAAGCGATTCTTCTGCCTCAGCCTCCTGAGTAGCTGGGATTACAGGCACATGCCACCACACCTGGCTACTTTTTTTTTTGTAGAGACTGGGTTTCATCATGTTAGCCAGGCTGTTCTCCAACTCCTGGCCTCAAGTGATCCGCCCACTTTGGCCTCCCAAGTGCTGGGGTTACAGGCATGAGCCACTGCACCTGGCCCTCCTTTACTTTCTTAATAAACTTGCTTTCACTTTACTTTATGAACTTGCCTTGAATTATTTCTTGTGCGAGATCCAAAAACCCTCTCTTGGGTTCTGTATTGGGACCCCTTTCTGGGAACATTGTTTTTTTGAGTTTCTCGGAGGCAGGGATTTTGTCTTAATGTACTCTGTCTCACAACCCCAGTCCAGAACCTGGCCAAACCCCAAATGTGCTTTAATAAATATGTGATTAATTACATAGATCTCTGAGAATGTATCAATCATAATTCTTGACTTCCACCTTGGCTGCAATTCAGGACTGGAACCAGCTCCACATTCTGACCTTCACAGGCCTGACCCTGGACAAGAGCCAGATTCTTTAATGAATAATCTGGCATACTACTTATTTTCCTCCTCTCACTCCTATGAAACTCAAAATTATCATGGCCTCCGGGAAGCAGTTCCCTGTGTTCTGACAAAAATGAGAGAGCTCACAAAATTTTCTTTTGTTTACCAGCCTGGGCAATATGGTGAAACCCTGTCTCTATCAAATAACTCACAAAAACTTGCCAGGCGTGGTGGCACGTGTTTGTAGTCCCAGATACTCTGGAGGCTGAGGTGAGAGAATTACTTGAGCCCGGTAGGCAGAGGTTGTAGTAGGCTGTGATTGCACCGCTGTACTCCAACCTGGGCAACAGAGCCAGACCCTGTATCATATATATATTTATTTTTGTTTAGTTTTATTTTTAAGTTCTAACAGAGATATGAAGCCTATCTCCAGGGCCAACTTCATGGGCAGTGTGACCTGAGCAGTGGGACCTGGGCAAAGTGACCTAGACATGTGACCTGAGTAGTGTGAGCTGGGCACTGGGACCTGGATAATCTGGATGTGTGACCTGGATGTGTGACCTGAGCTGTGTGAT